GACCTGACCTCTGAAGCGGGTCGGACCTGACCTCTGAAGCGGGTCGGACCTGTCCTCTGAAGCGGTTCTGTTGCAGGACTTTGTTTTTCCTGAAACGTTTTTAAAATCAGAATAATTTCAGGGAAACTTTTCTGTTTTTAAAATAACTTTATTTATAAACTTAAATGATTTTCTGAACTCATGTTTTGTAAAACCCTGGTCCTGGTTCTGGTTCTGGTTCTGCTCGAACTGTTTCCGTGAATCCATTTAGCTGAGTCGATGAACAGAACCGGGACACTTTAATGGGTTTCTGACCCAGTTTCAGCAGCCGGACCTCGGCCTTTGTCCTCAGATGAACTTTTAGTTTGCAGTCGGTTCTGGTTCTGCAGAACTGGATCAGAACCCTGACCCACAGCTCTGATGATGCCGCTCCTCCTGAGGTTCTGGTCCTGTCTGAACCGGTCCAATCAGAGCGGCCGCTGTGCTGCAGCCTGTGAGCTGGATGATGACTCAGCAGAATGAAGCTGCAGCAGCTTCTCCCTRAATGACTCGGCTCTTTTGATCTGGAACAGAACCGATCCGATCTGGTTCTGATTCATCCTGCAGTGTTTTATATTCACGTGAATGTGTTTATATTGAGTTTTATTTTATGAAATAAAGTTTTTCTTACTAAATGTTTTAATGACATCATCAGTTTAATGACATCATCAGTTTAATGACATCATCAGTTTAATGACATCATCCGTCGTCCTGCTGGGCTGCACCAGAACCTCTGATCTCATGTCTGAACGGTTCTGCTCCTCAGAGGATGGAGGAGGTCCAGGAGCGGTCCAGGAGGAGGCCTCTGGTCCGGGCGGCGTCAGAGGACAGCACCGCAGACCTGGGTTCTGTGGGCTTGTCTCCGTCTCCGGGGGACACGCTTCCCTGGAACCTGCCCAAACATCACCGCCTCAAACGCTCCAAGTCGGCCTCGGAGAACGTTCTGGACCCAGCAGACCGGGCCGTGATCCGCATCGCAGGTAGGAGCTGACCCCCCACAGCTGGACCTCATGGTCCTGCTGGGTCTGTCTCATGTTCCAGGCTCAAGTAGCTGAAAGCTAACTGAGCAGTTAGCTGCTAATGTTGTGTTGAAAGTATTGATCCAGTCTGCAGCAGAAACCATGACTCAGCAGTTCTGATCCAAACTGTTCCAGAACCAGAACCCAGTCCAGGTTCTGTGTGCAGTAATCAGGGTGATCACTAGAGGACAGCAGCTGAAGACAAATGTTCTGATCCTGCAGCGAGGGTCTGCATGGGTCCTTCAGGTCTGCATGGATCCTTCAGGTCTGCATGGATCCTTCAGGTCTGCATGGATCCTTCAGGTCCTTATAGCTCTGCATGGATCCTTCAGGTCCACATGGATCCTTCAGGTCTGCATGGATCCTTCAGGTCTGCATGGATCCTTCAGGTCCTTATAGCTCTGCATGGATCCTTCAGGTCTGCATGGATCCTTCAGGACTGCATGGATCCTTCAGGTCTGCATGGATCCTTCAGGTCTGCATGGATCCTTCAGTTCCTCATGGATCCTTCAGGTCCTCCTTGGTCCAGACTATCAGGGAATGTCAGATGGACCAGTAGATCCAGATCTTAGTCCTTCAGCTCAGAAGTCTTTCATAGACTCAGTTTTTGCTGTGCCCAGCAGAATGGTTCTGGTTCTGGTTCTGGTTCTGGTTGTTCGGAGCCACAGATCCTCCCTGAGTGATGAAACCACATTCCTGCAGCTGAAGGTTCTGTGGGTTCTTGTTGAAGCTCTGAGCCAGGTTTACGTGTCAGAACCCAGATCTGAGCCCAGAACCAGACATCTGGACCACTGTTGTGTTCACTTAAGTCCAGAACCCTGACAGAACCGGACCTTTGGACCTGCTGTCCTTCCTGTTTGTCTTTAGACCCGGTTTGTTCTGATGTTCTGTTCCTCAGATGGGTTTGGACTCATGGTTCTGGTTCTGGTCCGGTTCTGTTCTGAGGAGGTGTGGTGTCTCCTGGTTTCAGGAGCAGGATTAGGAAAGTTCTGGGAGTGAACAGGATCCACTTGGCCCGGTTCCTCCAGCAGCAGAACTTAAATAAACCCACTGTGTGTGTGTGTGTGTGTGTGTGTGTGTCTTTAAGAGGAGGGTCTGGACTTGTGGGTCAGGGGGAATGTGCAGCTGTAGACTTACAGGACAGTGAGGGACAGGTGGACTGGACTGGACTGGTTCTGTCAGAAGGTTCTGCTGGTTTTAGGAGTTCAGAGCAAAGTTTGAGGACTGGACCCTGGTTCTGGATCATGTCCGTGCCTGACCCGGGTCTGAGACTGCCTGAGGAGCAGGACTACATCCAGGCCTACGAGACCGTCAGGGAGAAGTATAAAGGTAACCAGGACCACCTGCTTTCTTCTTCTGTGGTGCTTCTGACCGCGCGGGCTGGGAGTGGGCGGAGCTATGGCTCCTGAGCGGTTCAGTGGATATGTGTCACCATGGTAACCACACGGCTGTCTGTCACTCCCTGAGGCCGTCCACAGCAGGTCCTGCAGGGACGGTCTCTGAAGGTCCACAGGGTTTCAGTCAGGTTCTGGTTCTGGACTCTTCTTTTGACCCGTTCTGTGGTGGATCAGCTGCTGTGGTTCTGATGGACCCAGCTGGCTGACCTTTGACCTCCAGTAGAGTCTGATGAGACACTGACAGGGTTGTATCCAGTACTACACAGTGATACTGCAGTAAAAGTACAAGTATGTTACCAAAAAATTACTTTGGTAAAAGTTAAAGTCTCCTTTAGGAATATGACTTGAGTAAAAGT